GGTGTTCTTCCCAAATTACATACTATCTTTCTGAATCAATCCTAGTTCCAAAGATGGAAACTTCTCATGCCAACACTTACATAATTACATACGTATAAAAACAAAATTAAAAAAATCTTGATCTCTACTAAAACTACTTGAACGAACAACTTTCCGATATAAATACCATAAAATTAGCATTTAGCTATAGAAAGGAAAATGATAAAACCATGAGAAATCCCACCCAGTAAGAGTTAATTTTGTTAGATGATGAAACCATAAACCTTCCTTACTCAACTACTTCATAAACCAGTCATTTGTGAACCATTACGCCATTCACTATCCTGCAAAATAGGATAATGGAATGCTCTATCTCCCCAAAGTCCGCTTCATTGTAAACAGTCCATCCCTCCTTGCTGACTCCAAAAGCTGTATAAACATACTGCAATCAAATCCACCATAGCTCATAGAAATCCTTTTTTTAAGTAATCTACAAAATGCCAATCTAATACAAATACAAGAGAGAGATGTTCTTACTAACACAACATTTTGTATTTGCAGTATTCTGAACACTGCTTAAACCTGCACGGGTTATAAAAGGCACCCTCCCCCCCCCGGCTGACAGAGTGCTTAGGCCTCTCATTTACACCACACTGCAATAACATAAAGAAGGGTTTACTATTAATCCAGGTTTTACTACAAAGCGACCCGTTATTTCTCTGTCAAACACTGGCAAGAGTGCCAAGTGTCTGTCATCCAATTCAGGGGATTAAGTCTTCTTTTATAGTCTGATACTTGTACCAATTTATACAAAATACAGATATAGTTTCTTAGAGTCAGTCACAGTCTATATGTAGTGCGGACTCGGGCCCAGAGGTTGACTATGACAGCTGGCAGGAGACGGAGGGGAGAGTACACCCCCTCCTCTTGGTCACCAGTCTCAGTTGCCATGGTGATTAATCCTTAATTGAATGCTGTCTTTGTACATTTCTTTTCAGAAAACTTTAAGTATACTTAAGTTGAAAACATGCAGTTGATTGAAAAAATGAGGCCCCACATCACAAACAGGTATAGCTAAATTCTGTGACATACTTCCATATATTAAAAGAACAAATTAACTCTAATAAAGGTATTAGCAGTCCTTTCAGATGCTTAAAAAACATTTCTTTCCGGTCTGAGTTTAGACCTAAATCACACAGATTTTCCCTCTTGTTATCAGACATCTCATCTTCAGAAATGGCTCTAAAATGTCTAAGTACAATTTAAGGCAAAATGAGTTCTTATTTTATATAATTTGTATTACTAAATAACCAAGTTTGATTAGAAATTTATTTTAGGAGAGACAGATTTCATTCAAGACATCTATAAAATGTCATATAAATAGAAATTAATTTATAAAAGTATAAACTATAAGAAACCAAAGGAGACATGGAAAAGATAGTACATTTTAGGCCTTTTAATATACGGTTGAATTTGAAAAGCAGGTTCAGAGCTCTTGTCATTTTGGTTATCAATAATTACATCAAAAGGACTGAGTAATTCTGAAGGACCATAGGAGTTTATCTAGGCTTGTGGTGTACATTACTTCTTTTTTGTAACTTTTCCATTTAGTATATTCCTTTGCAATTTAGTTAAAAGTTCTTACACTCAACTACAGTATTCCTGGGAAAGTGAAATACTTGCATATTGTGGCCACTGTTAATGGAGTGTTACCTTCATACAAATAAATAGGATTTGTTTCATTTTCTTAGGAAGTGAGACAACACATCTGCATCTGGCTGCAGACACACACACACACAGACCACACGCAAGCATGCGCGCACACACACACGCACACACAATCTTTTCAAACACAAATAAAGGTCTCTAATAAAACTTTGGTGACAGACAAGAAGCACTCAGAAGAATTCTCAGTAATAAAAATTCTGGATGTGAGCCCCAAGATGAAAGATACTGTACTGTAGGTGGGAGGTCTGGGGATTTCTGGAGACTTTAGAAGCAAGAGGTTTGCAGATATTTTCTGAAACTATGGCTGAGTCTCTTTTGCTTTCACCTTACTTTGTTTCCCTTTACCTTAGTTTATTCTCTTTTCTTCTCATAAAAATTTTTATTTTTTTCAAAACTGCCAATTCACTATTGCCACCAACACACTACAACTGTCTCAGTGAGAGACACACATATCTCTAACCAAAGATGTTGGTGTGTTTCAGTGATTTACTCATTGAAGGTGTTTAAGTAATTCTGACCAGATAGGATGAAATCGGTGCTTGTGAGCTTTTTCTCACATGTCATGAACTGTCCTCAAGTGATTTTTGTATATAGGTAATAGACTACAACTTTCAAGAAATTACAGCCGTATTATTAACCTGATGTTTTAAATGGTAGAGGTAAAATCTGAGGGACTGAATCTTATTCTGTTGGAATTTTACTATATTAAGTATTGATTTAAACAAGTTGGCCGCTGAGATGAGCATGTTTGTACAGACTGTTCTTGGCCTGCTAGCATTGGTGGCATGGGATTGGACCTCCTGCTTAGTGGCTTTAAAACTTCCCGAATATTTTACACCCACTATGATTTAGTCATTAAACAACACATTTCTTCACACACCCTGAAAAAGGTTTACTAAGTTTTAGGTCTGTGTGTGATGGGGAGACATACAGCCTCAAAGGGCATATTAGAAATCCTAGGGGATGAATATTTCAACTTGTTTCTTGGTAAGAATGTCCCTCACTCCAAAAAACACTGTGAAGAGATAAAGCTTCTGATGAGATTGTGCTGTCTACCTCAAGAATGCTGGGGCTAAAAAAGATTGAGCACTACTGGGATTGCTAATGTAAGGATAAAGGAACTCCCTTGCTCCTGGTCCTCGGCCCAGTTAAGGGCAAAGTATATTTCTACCATTTTCATTTTTACAACTTGCCTTAAGAAGGTTCCAAAGGGATGTTTATTTCTCTTATATTTAGGTGGTTGCTTCTCAGGTCCATTTTGGGAGGAATTCTATGAGGCTGCAAATTTTTTTTCTGAGAAATATTTAAATAAACCAACAATACCCAGTTAAATTATTTCATTAACATCTACTACAGGGGTTTGCCAAATTATCTGACGTTTTCACATTCAAATTTGTTTGTTTGGATAAGGGCATGGTTAAAATAAAGGGGGTATGGTTACAAAAATAAAACCCTAAGAAAAAATTAGCTGTCTATTTAAGAGATTCTGATAGGCTCTTCATTCTAATATAGCAAATTTCTGGCAAACCCAGCATATTTCTGCTTACCTTTTTCAGATAGTTCCTACAAGGTAGACAAACTATAGAAATTGCTCTCTATAGCGTTGGTTGAGATATGGTATATTCCTAGGTCAAATGAGAATATAAAAAGGCAGCATACGTGGGTCATGAAAAAATGCTTTCGCGTGTTATATTGTGGCATTGTGCCTTTGGATTACAATGAAAAATGCTAAACGCACAGTCTTTCAAAGTCCATTATTCCATTTATTCTAAGGATATTATCAGACAACTAACTGCTCACTAGATCATTCAGTAGTCACCATTTAAAATCCCAGGTGACAAATTTCCCTTAAATTAAGTGCTAGGAAGAGCCTTCTTCCTCCTTTGAAGAGCTAGCATTTTTTTTTCCTTTTTCTTTTCCTTAAGGACAACAATTTAGCTCAGTGCTTCTCAGCAGGGTATTATGGCATCTTGAGCAGAACAATTCTTGGCATGTGGGATGGCCCTCCCTCCCCCACAACAGCCATTTAGTCTCCCTGGCCTTCAGACATTAATGCCACTCGGGTACTCAGTCACTGTGACCACCCAAAGTGCCCACACACATTTCCAAATGCAGTAGTTGAGAAAACACTAAATAAATTGTTTACTTCCTTTGTTTTGTCTACCAGGAAACTCAATCAAACTTGTCATTTAAGAAAATATCTGGGTAAGAACATTATATCCTATATATCTGCATTTAACTTTCTCTTAGTCCTGAACTTCTAGTTTAATTTATATTTTCCTTGTTTCTGAATTTCATTTTGTATTCTGATTTTATTGTTAGGACAATCCAGATCCTCTGTGGAGCCAGAGGAGGTACAAATAAATAAAGACAGCTTGACAGTTCAGAGGCATTTTCCCCCCTTCATTCTTAAAAGTAGTACTAACTAGAAACAAAGTATCATTGTTGTATACAGTACCCATTTTTAACTCCTACACATAAAGTGGTAGAAAAACTTCTCAGACACAGCTCTTAGGAATAAAGAATAATAAGCCAAAGAGAAGAAAACATTTTTAAAAACATTTGATGAAAATGAGTATGTGTAAATAAGATACCACATTTACATAAAGCTTTATTTTTATATAACAGCAATTTTAAACAAGAAAAGCACATAGGATGTATTTACTACTTTTAACATTATATGAATCCTTTTGCTAAAAATATAAATTCTAGGGGCACATCGATGGCTCAGTTGGTTAAGTGTCTGACTCCTGATTTTGGCTCAGGTCATGATCTCAGGGTCATGAGACAAAGCCCCACATTGGGGTTCCATGCTGGGTGTGGAGTCTGC